AATCCGTGTCAATAATCGAATGACATATAACCCCATGTCGACCGATTTGCAATTAAGCCCCTTACTAGATGACCGCGCGAGGGTGTCAAGAATTGAGCTATCGCTTTCTATTTCTGTTTCCTTGATTACAATGAGCCATGGGAAAGCAAAATAAATATTGATTTGTAGAGAATTCGTGTAAGTAGGAGAAATGAAGTTTGACACGTAATAATTCAAGTATGAAATAGAAGAAGAAGAATTTATTTTGGTATATAGGCCATTGGCCCGTGTACATTAAATGCAAAGTGGTATATGATATATAGACAATATGGTTTAAACATATACATAGGTATATATATACATGTCTCTTCTAACATTGGATAGAATTCCTTTTAGATAGTGCATGTTTAATAAATAATGAATTTTTTATAAGTAAATTCTTATCTTTGCATGTTAACAACTTATGATATTTGCTTAAAACAGATGGACAATTAAATTCTGGTAGGTATTTGCTTCTTAAATTTGCATATGCATCACAGACAAGTACAAAATGTAATTCATCTTCAAAATTATAGCGGTTACACATTTTACATGTTTTGCTGAACCCACTGTCATCTTGACATCTTACGTTACATAGGAGAGGCAATTGTTGAATACGTAATAAGCATAAATAACGGCGATATTCCTTTAGATGTACATTAGAAATATAGTATTCCACATCCAGTAAAGATTTTAATGATTTGTAATAAGATAAATGTGCTGATTCATTTATTTTGCTAAACATATTTTGCTTTGCAGAATCTACAAGTCTTTGTTTAAACATAAATACAAAATCATTTACACTACCAACTTCTTGGCTTACCCACACAAAACCAAATCCATACGTGTTTAACAATATTCTTATATAAGATGCCCAAGTAATTCTGCTACAATCATCAAGCTTTTTCAAAAGAATATAAGATTGCTTGGGGTACCTATCGGTAGCCATACATAATAGTTTACACCAGTACCGGATACATTTAATTTGATAGTCAATACTAATACAATATCTACCGCATTCTGCTAATACTGCGTTACAGGACACATGCTTAGAGTACTACACCTAGTACAAATTTACAAAAATTAGAGTGGAATTTGTTAATAGCTTGTCTGAGCTTGGTGACCCCATACTTCTGCACCGTAAAGTAATATTGGCTTTATTTTACTGTCAAAGAGCTTGAAAAGAACACTTGAAATAGTATGAAATAGAGCTATATGTGAGTGATTGCTTGAGTGAGTGAGTGAGTATGGTTGAGCTTTTAGCAATATTTTAGCAATATCAAGGCGGCATACACCAGAAATGGGCTTCACACATTGTATCCATGTGGGGAATCGAACCCGGGTCTTCGGCGTGACGAGTGAACGCTTTAACCACTAGGCTACCCCATTACAGGCTGTTTGTAACTAACAACGCTTACCAACCACAAGATAGCCAACACCTATATCATGTTTACCAATACATAGATATTGGTTCAAGGAAACTGATTGCGATGCAGGCTCTTAATGGCAGTGTGAGAGTGATTTCGATTTGTACAATATTTCTACTATCTCGTTGTGCTAAAAGACAGGGGAGGTAAGGCGAAATACAGTCTAGAGTCGTACCTAAGAATATTTCGCTCATATGACGACGTGCATGCGTGTGTACGTGTGGCTGCTTGTACTAGCCCAGACTGAAGCTGGTTTTATAGTGCTAGCCCACTGAGATACCATGCCGCAGTGAAGCATGAATACCCCACTCAGACACATTATACTGACTCCGAGCCGACCAGTCCTTGTTGTACCCATTAATGTAGACTAACAACTAGTCTCTGAAATGAACATATTTTACTGAAAAAAAGTTCATAGTAAAAAAAATATATATAATGAAAAGGAGCCCTGAGACTTTCTTCATTCTTGAAGCTGAGGAAATCTAGACTTGCAACATTTTCTAGACTTGCATGGGCTTTCTTCGATATATTTGCTTCAGGGTCTGTACGACTACCATTAATGCCGAGCGCCAGACAGGGACCAACAAGTACCATATTTTAACGTCTTTTTGGTATGACACGGCCGGGGATTGAACCCGCGACCTTCCGCTCGATGGGCGGACGCTAAAACCACTACACCACGGAGGTGGTCGCTAAAAGACAGAAATGATACAGGACTTTACTACTTTAGTCAACTCTATGTGCACGGGCATGGTGCCGACCAACCTATATACAATCGGTAAGAACTGGGAATTGAACGCACGGTTATAGATAGGTTCCTTGTGTGCCCAAGGTAGGTAACACTGCGCGACTAACTGCGTTGCCTTTGACGGCTAGGCCCAAGAGTACGTAGAGTAAACTACGGTTATAGCGAACTCAAAGGGACTACACATTTTAGTTCGTTATAGCCGGAGTTCGTTATAGGCATCTATGGAGTGGGTGAGTGAGTGGGTATAGTTTTACGCCGCTTTTGGCAATATTCCAGCAATATCACGCCGGGGGACACCAGAAATGGGCTTCACACACTGTACCCATGTGGGGTACCGAACCCGGGTCTTCGGCGTGACGAGTGAACGCTTTAACCACTAGGCTACCCCACCGCCCCTATCTATGGATGTAGCGATGGATTGCATATGCAAATGGATTACATGGCGGACAGTGAAAACACGTTAATTAAGGCGATACCTTGTCTGTCATACAGATCCTGAAACAAATACACCCAATGCAGCTATGAAAGTCTAGAATATTTTGCAAGTCTAGATTACAACAGTTTCAATATTCTCGTCACACACGCTTTCAGTAGCATGTCAGTGATGGGCGATAGTGAGTGAGTGAGTTTCGTTTTACGCCGCATTCCAGATATATGGCGACCTTCTGTTAGTAATCGAGTCTAGACCAGACAATCCAGTGATCAACAGCATGAGCATCGATCTACGCAACTGGGATGCCAAGTGTCGACCAATTCAACGAGCCTGACCACCTGATCCCGTTAGTGAGTGAGTGAGTTTAGTTTTACGCCGCACTCAGCAATATTCCAGCTATATGGCGACGGTCTGTAAATAATCGAGTCTGGACCAGACAATCCAGTGATCAACAGCATGAGCATCAACCTGCGCAATTGGGAACCGATGAGATGTGTCAACCCAGTCAGCGGGCCTGACCACCCGATCCCGTTAGTCACCTCTTACGAAAAGCATGGGTTACTGTGGGAATTCTAACCCGGATCTTCACGGCTCGATGGGTGATAGGAATCTGTACTTGTGTTGTGAAATCAATAGCAGTTAACTGGAGATTTGTTTTGTCTTAGAAAATAAACAAAGTCTCTGGGTTCCGTTTATCATAAATTTTGAATAGAATTTAGAAGTTGTTTTTCTGTAAAATATGTTCATTTTAGTCAAGACGATACCATTCTTAGTTAAATATTCGGGGTTCACAAAATTTCCGTTTAAACGTTTTCTGTATTCTAAGTAATGTCACTTTAAAGGCGTTCTCAACAAGTTCGTTAGGCGAGATTCGTGGACCAACGCAGTGTCACTGTTGTACCATAAGCAGTCGAAGTAAGAAAACACGCAGCATCCTTGAATCGATTTAGACATTTATTTAGCTTAATCAATGTAACCTAGATACCAGTAGGAACCTCGTCTGACAATCAACATACAACGCCCACATGGCCATAGCTTTGAGTTACGGCACATGAGGAGCGCCTAGAATATGACTCATTGTTGTCTATTTCAACTCCTGCAACAACGCGCCTGTAATGTTTTGACATGTATGTCAAGCAATGTGACAGGCTGCAATGAACAAGGCTAGATGTGCACGATCCGAGATTGAGTCATCCCCGTCTCCCGACTAAAACGGGAGGTGGGGTAGCCTGGAGGTTAAAGCGTTCGCTCATCACGCCGAAGACCCGGGTTCGATTCCCCACATGGGTAAAATGTGTGTAGCCCATTAACCACCAAACTAAACTGCCTGTTTGCTGAGAAATCTTTATTTTTTATTCATGTTCAAATAGCCGCTCAATGTAGAGTCAGTGTTCTGTCTAATTGAAATGGGATCAGGTTACTAGTTCTTGGCTCTTGTTTCAAGCTGTCTCATACAGAACTGAGAACACCTGTAAGCGTTATGATTTCCTCACAATCTGTTGATCACAATTCAATTAGCATAGTGGTTAAAGTTATGGCTTGTCACGTAGAAAGCCTGGGTTCGACTCCCCACATTGGTACAATGAGTGATGCCCACTTCTGGTGTCCCCCGCCGTGATTTTGCTGGAATATTGCGGAGTAAAACTCGAAGCTGTACCCAGCGTTCGAAATTAACGTTGGTCCTTAGGCCCGATGCCGACTGAAAACCACTCGGACCCACAGCTATTGTTTTCTGCAGGTCGTTATGGCCGACAGCTTTTTCATCCCCGATAATTAAGAGTATCATTTCCATATTAAAATATACGGTCTACACATTCTGATCAGGACCCACAACTTTTAATGGTTCTGGGTCCTTAGGGCCTGCAGATTTTCAGGGTTAAGGGCAAACACTGGCTGTACCAATGATCGGTAGTGTGAGCAACTATCCACACTGGTTGACTGACTGACTGAGTTTAGTTTTACGCCGCTTTTAGCAATATTCCAGCAATATCACGGCGAGGGACACCAGAAATGGGCTTCACACATTATACCCATGTGGGGAATCGAACCCGGGTCTTCAGCGTGACGAGCCAACGCTTTAACAACTAGGCTACCCCACCGCCCCCACACTGGTTGAATAAACTGCCAACCAAACACAGCCCATCATTTTTTACGAACAGGTTTGCAGGAACCGATTCGAACCCGGAATCCTGATAACGTGTAGGGTTACACCTGGTTGATTCCTAGCATCAACACGACACTGATGATCATCGGATATCTTTACACAGGCCACTGCCTCGAGGTTGCCGATGATATGAAATACACTGACTATTCCAGTAGCATCAGTTGTACTGCCACATCAAGACACTTTAAATTGAAAACAAAACTGTAATAATGATTCATGGGGTTTTATTTAAAAACGATTTCTTTACCGACCAGCAGCATGTGAAGACATAACAATAGTTAATACATTTCACTTTTGCAATAAATAAGGTGTCATCAAATGCTCATTTGTCGTCATATCTGTATAAACATGGAACCTTATAATGAAACACAGGCAACAATAGGGACCAGCCCTATAGTCTATGGTGACTGTGGAATTCGTCGACATAGTTTTGGTTCACAATAATCTTAATAATATATTTATCATGAATATATAATTTTACCTAAATCTGCTACAAAAAGATTGAAAGACATGGGACTTAGATCGAAAATAATCTCTCAATAAACTAGACTTTGGAAGTACCAAATTGTACACATAATCGTTTACATCAACCACATACATCTGTCCAATCGTGGACTCCATTATCACAGTTCATTCGTCTGTATTGGCTACAGAGAGTACGTGCCACCTCAGATCACACTTTTATCACAGAGTCAGTCGTCACGAATAGTGACTTGCAATAAATGCAACACTTCGGATGGCGGTTCCAAGCTAAGTCCATCAAATCTTCTTCGTTTTTCCCTAAATTCAAGGGGAGGTCACTCTCAAGTTGTGTCGCAGCTGGGAGCAGACGACACATCGCACGAGACGAGCAGTCAAAACGCTGCCGATGATCAGCAGGCGAGATTTTGCCGTTGTCAACGAATCAAGGTCGTTGTGTGATAGGTCTCCAGTTTTGACTTAAACTTTTTCAACGGCTGAAGATTTGCTTCAGAATATTACATTTCTTCTTCCTGTACTTCAGAGCAGAAAACACAACATGCTCGAACACTTCTTTCAGTCCTTCACGACTTCTTGCCGAACATTCGACATAGCAGTCAGCACCAATGTCCTTGGCCAGTTGGACACCCTCGTCCGTGCTGACCTCGCTGTCTTCATTCCCGACCCGGAGGTCAATCTGGGTGCCTACGAGGATGACCGGTCTCTTCTGTTTGGATTGTTTGGTGTGTCGCTTAAGTTCTGGCATCCACAGGTCATTGATGCTGGCCAACGTCTCCCGGTCACAGGTGGAGAAACACAGAAGCAGGACTTCACTTTCTTTGTATGTGAACGAGCGCAGGCTCTCGTAGTCTTTCTGTAAAAGTAAACACGGAAACATTAAACAATCTGTCACATATTTCACTGAAGACAATTTCAATATTTGCATGTAAAGTGGAATACAAACGCGAAGCCTGCTCCATGATCTAGACTGTGTAAAAGTACAGTGACTCGGTGATCGTGTTTAACAAGTTTCAGGAAGGCAAACATTCAGGATTCCTTGGGCAAACAGCCCGGCTTAACAGTCTTGACTCAAAACACAGACAATATTAGCGATCTTAAAACTTGCCACAGCACCACTGGAAACACCTTTACATCAGCCCCAACGCTGCCTATGCTAATTCTTTAAACATGTATCACTTTGTTCCGATCTGACATTTATTGACCCATACAATCTCCAGTTGATGGATGATTCCTCTGCCTTTGCATAACAGGTTATTGTGATTATTCTAAGTGATACCAAACATTTGATGACGTCATGAAAAGTCAAACAAAAATTGTTCATACCTGTCCAGCTGTGTCAAACATGCTGACGATAAACTCCTCCCCAGCAACGTTCAAAGGCACTGAAAGGTAAAAATTAACAATAAATATATACTTAGATAGAAAAATAACTTACACAGCAAATTTACAAGTCTAAAATAAATCAACGAATTATTAACATTCGCTTCGCCTAACCATCCGTACCGATACACTGCACTGAATACCTACCTAACAACAGCGCTGGTTTGATCAATAGATTGTATCATGGTATTGTGGGTGACGAGGTGTGGTATGCCTGGTATTCTGATCAGCAGTTCAACGCCTGCGCTTATTTCCCCCACTGATTACAAAACCTTGGATACCAAACATTCCCCCAAACCAATTTCCGTGTCGTTGATGTTTTCCCGTTGCTACGCGAGAAAGGAATTTTGGCATCGGTGCTAGAGAATGGCACGTTCGCTAAAGGATATTTAACATATTTGTACAGCTGTTGATTGGGGCTTTAGTAAATTGTATGAACATGTTAGAAATGCTAAAGTAATAAAACGTTGTAAAATAATATAAATATAATAGATGGTAAACAGCTGATTAACAGGTAAACCGATTCCTGTTTTCATTGCAGAATGATAGAGATAGTAGAAAATATAATTATACATACCAGCATAATTCTCGAAGACTGTAGCCTCGTAACTTTCACTAAAGGATTTCTGAGCATAGCTCTCCGAGATGCTGGTCTTCCCGACCATGCCGTCTCCAAAGACGGCACAGTGGACGCATTTCTTGTCTTGAGGCTTCATATTCCCTGCTTTCATAATACAGCTATATTCACCGGTAGATTACTACTGCACGCAACGGTGGTGTCGTTCTCAAGTCAATGGATAAACTGGAGCTAAAATTAACCACAGCGATATATATGCTGAGGCTTGACCAATCAGCGCTCTCCTTGTATGACCTCACGGCGCTCGTGTCGATTTCCCCACGTGATATGTAAGGCCCCGTCAATCTCGCCTGATATCCGTGTGCAATGGATTGAGTTGCAATAGCAAGTATAATGGCCATTGCATTAGCGACAATGGATTAAACTAAAAGCATTTTGATCATTTATAGATGTACAGTAAGAAAATAGTTCGCTACACGCTGGTTTAGGACGGAGAATATGTACATTTGCGTAACCGTGTGACGAAATTGCCAACAAGGAACTCGGACTACTTCCGTCAGCTGTCCAAAAACCTATTGTTTCAATTTCAAACAATACATTCTCGTGTAGGATATGTTTATAAACAGACACAGGGAAATATAATATGGAGAATTCCATCGTATGATCATCAGGGGGTATTTAGATAAAACGGTATAACCCTCTTGTGAATGTGTTATTTTTTCGTCACCGGAATACGTAACACGTCAATGTGTTTTTGTAATCAAAAAGATATAATTTGACTGTATATCCTACGAAAGAATTTTCTTTTTCTTTCGTACAACTACGGATAACTGTGATTTCATCACCAAGTATGTAGATATCAAATAACAAACTTACAAAATTGTAATGTCACGTTGCCCTGGCGAGTTAATATTGACATTAATACTTTAAACTCGTGATATGTCGAAATCTGTAAACTCATGATCACTTCGTATGAAACTCGAACACTCGAGGCGCCGAAATTTCATCTAAATGATCCGAGTCATCGTCCATGTGATTAACGCTTCGTTATGTACGACTTCCTTAATTGTAACCAAAGATCTCAAGGCCTTTAAATCATTCGGCATTGGGGTGGGGGTGGGGATGTGTGGGGTGGGAGGCCTAGTGGTCAAAGCGTTCGCTCGTCACGCCGAAGACCCGGGTTCGATTCCCCACATGGATACGATATGGGAAGCCCATTTCTTGTGCCCCCTCAATGTGATGTTGCTGGAATATTGCTAAAGCTAAACTCACTCACTCACTCATTCGGCATTGTTTTCAGCTTGTACTTACTATTTACTTACTCTGTATATATCTCGTATCACAGGTAAAACATGATTTATATCGCAAATGTTTGACTGATGAATTATTTTAGAGTGAGTGAGTGAGTCAAGGTTTAACCGCATTTAGCAATATTCCAGCTACATCACGACGGGGGACACCAGAAATGGGCTTCACACATTGTTACCCATGTGGTAAATCGAACCCGTGTCTTCGGCGTGACGAGCGAACGCTTTATAACCACTAGGCTACCCCACCGCCCCAATATCAGAATATATTCCACCCCGCTACATTAACAGGGAAAATGAGATGACGTGGTGTATTATATATAGACTCATATCTCAATCACGACACTGTCTAAATTTACAACGTGGAAGTAATGGTTATATGGGTGCTAGACTATATATCGTCTGCCCGTCTCGACGTTATTTCACGCACGCCCAGACCGCTCAAACACATTAATGGTGTCAGTTTCATATTCAATAGGATAAAGCCTTAAGCTTGTTCGTTTTTCAGTCGAAACAATTTCTTAGTGTCATTTTCGGCATTGATGAAATGAGTGAGTGAGTGAGTTTAGTTTTACGCCGCACTCAGCAATATTCCAGTTACATGGCGGCGATCTGTAAATAATCGAGTCTGGACCAGACAATCCAGTGATCGACAGCATGAGCATCGATCTGCGCAATTGGGAACCGATGACACGTGTCAACCAAGTCAGCGAGCCTGACCACCCAATCCCGTTAGTCACCTCTTACGACAAGCATAGTCGCCTTTTGTGGCAAGCATGGGTTGCTGAAGACCTGTTCTACCCCGGATTGGAAGCCTGCACGATTCTGACTAAACATACGATATATAGCCATTTTGTATTGCGTTGTTGTTATGTATATACAAACAGCATTTTTCAGATATAGACAGCAGAGTTTCTAAATTAAAACAGTGACATCTCTTTAAACCGGAAAACTGCTTAAAACGTTTACAGCCAGCATACTGATGGGTAGCTTCTAGACTAACGCTTAGTCTCTGATTATATATAATTTTGATAGTAACAAATAAACCAATTTAAATTGAAAAGGAGCCCCAGTGACTTGTTCAGCCTGAACCTGGGGTAATCTAGACTTGCTTCATGTAGGAATTTAGCATTGCAGGGAGGGCTAGGCTGTAGGGGAATGTGGTTCAGGGACTGTGAGACAGACTATAAGGTAGCAGCAGCCAACAGAACCATGTTATTTTATGCAAACTGTGTGAGCGATAGGTGCTGTCGGTAGGACAGGACATGCTTATCCCCTTCGTGGACACCTGGTGTCAGTGATTGTCGGTGAATCCCCTCTCTATATTTATCACTATTTTAATACCCTAACGCACCCTTCAAGTTGCCGTATCTTTCGATCAAATCACCCATTTCGATCATCATCATCATCATCATCATCATCATCATCATCATCATCATCATCATCATCATCATCACCATCGTCATCATCATCATCATCATCATCATCATCATCATCATCATCATCATCATCATCAACTCAACTCTACAGCCAGTAGAACCTGTTTCGCCCGATATTCAAGGCTGACTGTTCTCTTTATATTTTCATGACGAAATGTATATTTTTATATTCCGTCTATACGCTAATCGAGACTGTTAATAATCCGAACTATATATTGCTGTGGGCGGGGCCGGATTAGCAGGGTTCACTGCATACTATACGATGCACTTCTAGCTTTGATAACAACCCCATGGTAGATTATTCATACTTGTAATAGGGCGGTGGCCGGGGTAGCCTAGTGGTTAAAGCGTTCGCTCGTCAGGCCAAAGGCCCGGGTTCGATTCCTCACCTGGAGTAAAATGTGTGAAACCCATTTCTGGTGTCCTCGCCGTGATATTGTTAGAATACTCTAAAAGCGGCGTAAAACTATACTCGCTTGTACTGATCGACATCTGTGCTTCAGTTATAGTGATTGCCTTAACATCTAAAATTCTGCCCATGTCATTTTGTGAATAGAAGTTGTTTTGACTCCGTTAAAAAAACTCCCACCTGGACTTTGAACCGTAAACCGTCGAACCAGACCAGACGATTGGAAGTCATCGAGACAGATTATCGAGAAGAAACGCTCATCGTAATAAAACGTTTCATTCAAAGGAGTAAGCCTCGCAGTCATTACTACCCGATCATTAACACGAGAGGTCGTAAAATATAAGCATCCGGGTTCTACTCATCTAATCAAGCCGAACAAGCCATCCACACATAAAGGTTTCGTGAGTGGATCATCCTCAAAGTGGTTCACACTCTGGAATAACTTTCTCAGGGTAACAACATATGAATCGTGTCTCACAGTCCTACCTACTAATACAAGGCGGTGTACTTAAAAAGGTTCATTCAGCCCTACGCATTGCCAGAAATTTGTGTACCTTTTAGACTGAAGAGCCTTCAGCGAGATCTAGAGCGTCATAACTAACTGCCATGTCATTGTGACCCTTCGTCAGCGATCTCATCCTAAAGGCAGCCATATCGTTGTGGCAGTGATTCACAGTAATTAAACCTTGGTAAACAGACAAAAAGATTTGGAGATATGCCGAGGGTTTTAAAGTAATAATTTCTTGTGGTTTGACAGTTGTAGATATGGGACTATATAATTGCACTCTGATCAGCTTTGACGGGCATCAGCTGTTTCGACAGCTGGACGGGCGTTGTTGGGGCTTACTTGATTACCTCCCTTGACGTGTTTATATTGCCTCGTGTGCATTGGAGAGGGGTGGGGACGCAATTTCTACTCAATGTGAGAGAAACCATCACTGTAAACTTCTAAAAGGTTTGTTGTCTTCGGTGTGTTTCCTATTAAATATTTTTTTAATAATCATTTACAGTTTTACCATACTGTGTTGATTTTGGGTAGTCACTGGCTCCCATATTTGTCACCCTGCGGTGATGTCAGGTAAAAACAGGTTCCCTGCTCCCCTCCCCATATTTATCACCCTGTATTGATTTTGGTTAATACTATGTTCCCCGGATCCTGATTTCAGGTAATACTATGTTCCCCGGATCCTGATTTCAGGTAATAATATGTTCCCGGATCCTGATTTCAGGTAATACTATGTTCCCCGGATCCTGATTTCAGGTAATAATAGGTCCCCGGATCCTGATTTCAGGTAATAATAGGTTCCCGGATCCTGATTTCAGGTAATAATAGGTCCCCGGATCCCGATTTCAGGTAATAATAGGTCCCCGGATCCTGATTTCAGGTAATAATAGGTTCCCCGGATCCTGATTTCAGGTAATAATATGTTCCCGGATCCTGATTTCAGGTAATAATAGGGTCCCCGGATCCTGATTTCAGGTAATAATAGGTCCCCGGATCCTGATTTCAGGTAATAATAGTTCCCGGATCCTGATTTCAGGTAATAATAGGTCCCCGGATCCTGATTTCAGGTAATAATAGGTTCCCCGGATCCTGATTTCAGGTAATAATAGGTTCCCCGGATCCTGATTTCCTCGGATCCTGATTTCAGGTAATAATAGGTTCCCCGGATCCTGATTTCAGGTAATAACATGTTCTCCGGATCCCGATTTCAGGTAATAATAGGTTCCCCGGATCCTGATTTCAGGTAATAATATGTTCCCCGGATCCTTATTTCAGGTAATACTATGTTCCCCGGATTATGATTTCAGGTAATAATATGTTCTCCGGATCCTGATTTCAGGCAATAATATGTTCCCCGGATCCTGATTTCAGGTAATAATAGGTTCCCCGGATCTCTACATTGGTGACCTTGTGTTGATTTCAGGTAACAGTATATCCCCTGGCACCTTGTATCTGTCAATCTGTGTTGATTTCAGGTATATAATATTTGTGATATTTGGGGTAGTTCATGGCCACTAACACTGCATACATCAGTTTATACCCTATCTTCATCCGGCTCCAAATACATCCCCAGC